GCAGGAAGAGAAGGATTTGATTTTCTGACTGCAGAAAGAGTCCAGCTCCCTTGTGGAATTTAAATATACCTATTTGATGGCTTTCCTTTTTTTTTTTTTTTTTTGCCTGACCCTCTCAACATTTCAGCATATGAATAATTGTACTCATATAAACAAAATGGGCTCCTTCATGGATGAAACGCACACAAGAGATTTGTACCATTAAAAAGCTATTTAATCTATTTTAAGGGTTTCTGAAAGACTGAAGGGTACACAGGCACGGTACCCTCTGGGAGAGGATCAATGTCACTGCCACTGCAATGAGGTTACTTTTGTGCCTAAGTGGCTGCAGGATGAGAGTCTGATTATTAAAGAAATCGCCACTAACAACAATATGCTCAATGCCCTCGTTGCACCTGTTTGATTTTCAAATCTCTGTATTCCCTTACAGCTACGCACACGGACGCAACGCTGCCCGCTCCACTCACGCAACTGCTGGCATGGCAGCACCCAAAACCCGGCCTGTCGAATGTAGATGCCAAATTTGGGGGACAAAAATCTGGGCTATTAAGAGGACATGCTGTGCTTTTCCTCTGCAAACAGTTTAAAAAGATCCAACCCAAACTTCAGACAATTTAACATTCACAGTAAAAAGTAGCTCAAGTCAGTCATTAAACCTCAAAGGGATCCCTGAATTGTGCTCTTCTTAATGAATTCAATAATCGATTCTCACTACACAAATAAGGTGTGGGATGGATCAGCTAATAAGCATTCTCAGTTAATTGCTTTCTCCAAGTGACAATTTGTACAAATGATACCATCAAAGTAGCAATAATATCCTTATTGATTAAATTAATCTCTAAAAGACAACTCACATAAGTTTAATTAGCAATGCATGACAGAAGCACAAAATACTTTGAAAACAACCTTGTAACCCATCCCAGACTTTGAAATCACGGCAACAGCCATGCAAGAGACGTTTGCATCTCTATTCAAACGGACACGCGCAATTTTATGGAGCATCTTTAGCGAATGGCCGTGACTAACCATGAAAACCCATGAAACCCTCCCTGCAGAGAAATAGCGAGACACGCAGCAAAAGCAGTCTTCCCACTTAGTCACACAGTCACTACAAGCCAGGGCCACAAACAGTTTTTAAAATAAAAGACAAATTTCCAACAGAAGGAGCAGAGATGGTCAGAGAAGGCTCTGTGCCCAAATGCACACGTGGAGCTGGTGGGCACCCAGAGCAGCGTCAACACTTTCACGCCGTGGAAATTGGACACCAGCTCATAAAATCAGAGCAGAAACTTGTTCAGTACAGCAAAGGGTTAAAAGAGTTGGCTCAAAGCTTGTTCAGAGAGACCAGGTTACTCTTGCTGGGACCAAGACCAGCAGCTGGGCCCAGGGAAAGGGTCCAGATGTGGTCCACAGCACCCGCACGCTCCCCAGGACGAGCGGTGGGAGCTTGGAGCAATACTTGCTCTCCCGATTCCTGCGGGAAGACCGAGACCAGGTATGAGATGACTCCACGTGCCCCAGCTCCAGCGGCTTCACCGGCATCGCCTGGTCACCAGCCGGGCGCGAGGATGGGATCCCACAAGCAGTCTGCTGCGGGGAGCGACTAACGCAGGAACGCATCAAACGTTTGGTCCTTGTGGCTCACACCGCAGTAGGAGAGACTTGGCGCTATCGTAATTTGATTGCAAGGCACACTTTGGGGGAGGAGGGGGGAAAAAAATAAAAGCATATTGAAAACCTCTCGGTCAAAATATTACCCCAACCTGCCTTGCTTAGCTTCTGCTCTCTGCCAGGAAAAGGGGAATTAGACTCAATTCTGCCTCGGGAAGTGAGGTAGTGGACATCAGGGACAAGAGGAGGGAATAAGTACAACCTTCTGGAGACACTCCAGCGTGATAAAAGAAAATACAATAATACAGAGAACAGCATGTTCCCCTTGTCAGGGCCAGAGCTACCCCGCAAGCAGAACAGGAATTTGCCTGGGGCAGCAACGTGCTTAATGGCTTTATTATTATTATCTGAGCGATCCGAGGATGCTTCCCAGCACGCACGGGAGAGCAGCGAGCCCAGAGCCACCTCTGTGAACATGAGGAACAGGGTTTTATTTCAGTGGGCCACGTCGGAGCTTTCTCGTTGAGCTAACTGAATGCAGCAACTGAAAGAAACATATGGCCCATATATTTCATCACACATAGGTACAGTATTTTAGAATATTTGAAGCATATGAATAAAACCACAGGTTTTTTTACACTTGTACAGTATACGGCCTTGGTCCTTAGGACAGCCCAACCTTCTCAATTATTTATTTCATTTTGTTATTCAGACTACTTGCATTTAATTTCACCATAATATAGTTATCTTGTGCTTTTGCAGACACACGTCCTCCTTGTAGCCTCAATGGGTTTATTATCTCATTTTTGTTCTTTGAGTGGTTTTGGTAATCCAAGAATATAATGTTTAAAAAAATGCCATATGATTCTCAGAAAGATGATGGAATTTGCACCAGCATCAAAAGGAACATAAATACTTTCTGTATTTATTTTCATCCAAGAAACACTGAAACAAACAAGGAACTACCAAATTACTTTTCCGACTACAGCCAGGCAAAACAGCAAAACACCCACAAAAAGCCTAATCATCTTCTGTTCAACTTGATCCTTTACACCCATTCTGTTTTCCTACTTTACTGTAATGTGCCATGGCTGCTCCAGACCCTAGCCGTGGCAGGTTGCAAGCCCATAAAGAAGGGCTGGCAACCTTTGCTGGCAACTCTCTTGCCAGGCTGAGAGAGTTGGAGCTGTTCAGCCTGGAGAAGAGAAGGCTCCGGGGAGACCTTATTGTGGCCTTCCAGTCCCTGAAGGGGCTACAGGAGAGCTGGGGAGGGACTTTTTCCAAGGGCATGGAGTGATAGGACGAGGGGGAATGGCTTCAAACTGGAAGAGGGGAGATTTAGATGAGATATCAGGAAGAAATTCTCTCCTGTGCGGGTGGTGAGCCCCTGGGGCAGGTTGCCCCGAGAAGCTGTGGCTGCCCCATCCCTGGAGGTGTTCAAGGCCAGGTTGGACAGGGCTTGGAGCAACCTGGGCTGGTGGGAGGTGGCCCTGCCATAGGTCATAGGGGTTGGAACTCGATGATCTTCAAGGTCCTTTCCAACCTAAACCCTTCTACGATTCTATGATTTGTATGGCTGGACTTTCAGAAACAGATACATCTGTCTGAGACCTGACATCTGCCTGAATCCGTAACGACTCTCTATCCAACAACTAGCCTTGGATAAACTATCTGTAACTGAAATCTCACTATGAAGTGGAACTCACCTGGCAAGCGCAGACGCACCATCTCCAGGGCCGCTCTTCCTTACCTGCATACACACTGGCCAACATGCAGTAAATGGGACTGATGTGCCATTAGTTCTTGGTCGCTAAATAAGACACTTGCACAGAGACTGATTTTTGGAGCTCAGGTATCCTTGAAAATCTACTTTCTACATAGTATTACAAGGTGGATTTCCAAAAGTATTTTGGCTCTCAAAACCACTAATATTTTTAAAACCTTGACCACAACACACAGCATGTGAGTGGGCAAACAGCGGGGAAACATATGGGTTGGAACCGCAAGCCCTGGAAAGTCACTTGGGGAAGTGAGGGATTGTATTTTTCCAAAAGGAGCTTTATTAGATAGCCTTTTTAGAAAGTTCAGCATGTGAAAAAAGAAGAGGACATATGCTCATCACTTGTCCCTGAGACATCCATCTTATTTTTCCAGTTAAGAAGCCAATCTTCTATGAAATCCCCCCAAATCCTAGCAGACAGGTTAAATTACTAATTTTGAGAATGAGTATTTCTAGTACTAGTACTAGAACTGAGAATTACTAATTTTTGTACTAGTACTAAAATTGAGAATTACTAATTCCACAACGATGTTATTAAAAAATCCCACAAAAACAAATAAGGATAGCCACAAGAGAAACTTGGTTTAGAGCAGGATCTCTCTAGACCAAAGAAGTGAGCTGCATGATGATGTGCAACAATTACTTCATATAGAGAAGAGCTATGCGGCATATTTAAAGCCTTTAATTGCTGTTCCCTTGTTTAAGTGAGATTATTGCTCCACGTAGCCAATAACAATAGATTTCTTAAGTTTCTTCTGATTTGCCAGCAAAGCAAATATCCTCTGGTAAATCTATGAGTTGAACAATGATTTTTCATTTTTACAACAGCACAGTCAATTCAATTTTCCAGTTATAAGTCTCAAGCCTCTCCCTATCAGCTTGTTAACGTACAAGCGCTGTACTCTAAAACACGCCTGGAAGAGCCTCCATAGACTTTGCCATCCCAAGTTGCTTCTGAACACTGCATTCATTGCGTATGAATCACTTCACTGTATGTAAACACTCGAATCACTAAGCCACATCTAACATTGTACATAGTAATCAAGTTATGTTGTCACGGTGGGATCTGGAACGACGAATATCTGCACGGATGCACTGAGGCAGCTCTAAAAACACAGCTATTAGTGTCTCACGTTTAAAAGCATATTTTGCCTGTTTGTGAACTTATTTTATTTGCAGATGCTGAACGCCTGAAAAATATTTTCAGGCTTTGTGTCTTCTTGAGATACTCACCAGAGTCCCACCACTCCCCCCCGAGACTGTTCGCAGGACAAAAACGGCACAGTATTTTTCATGGTATTTAAGATATTCATAACTCATAGCAATGCTGTGACAACGTGACCAGGGCCTGTTTAATTGGGCATGCCATTTCATCCCGGTAGTTTTGTGCATCAGGTCAGGCAGATAAGCATCCAAGAAAAAAACCTATACTCACCACTAAAAGCAAGTCATTTTTCCCCCTTAAACTTAAATTAAAATGCTATAAAACACACCAATGCTCAGTTCCCCCACAGCATTCTAACAGCTGTTTATGTTAACTTGTTGAAGTGTTGCTTTGGGTTCCTTAAATACTGTTAGGTGCAATTTTTCTCGCACACGTGGCACAAACCTTGATGCCGAGCTCGATGTTCTCCCCTCCATACACATCCATCCCGGGATCCAGAAGCCCAATCTCACCAAAGAACTTTCTGTGCACAACGAACGAGCAGCCGATCATCGCCGGTGTCCTGTACCAGAAGAAAACCAACAGAAATGCACAATTACTGACATTTTCTAATTTTTAATGGACCGAGGGCTAGTTTCTGCAAAGTTATCTCAGAGACTTGGCAGCAATGAGTGAGCTCTGTGCCTTTGAAGACATTACTTCACCACTGCAATGAAATTGTCCAAAATTTCAGTTCATTTTGCTGTGTAGACTGGAGAAAGAGTTCTCCTGGGATTGAACGACTGAAAAGCCTCCAGGTGTCGGCTCTGTCACAAACACCTTGGTGTGTCTATGGGCAAGGGCACAAATTCTTGGGATTTCCATTCCCCATTCGTGAAGGAAATATAATAACGGCATTTCCTTTCCCTTACTTTCTTCCAGCACATCTAGTAACAGAGGAGACTTCAGGACCAGTGTTTTTACGGTGGTTTTTACGGTTCCTTGTGAAATGAGGTTTCCGACTGGGATCTTTCTTACTTATCACGAAGGAGTCATTACCAACTAGTGACAACAAGGTAAATTGCAAATTTGCAAAAGCAAATTCTTTAAAAACTCAAGACAACTGCTTGCAGCAACATCTGCCGTGTCATCTGCCCAGTTCCACCGATATCGACGGGGCTCCGGGTTAGAGATCAAGCTGTCACATCCATCCTGCGAACCCTCATGCCCCGCAGTGACCAGCGCTGCCCGGCTCCACTTCTGCGAGAGCAGCCAAGCACAGTGTCCGGTCATGGGAAATAATAGAGAAAAATGAGAGTGATACCAACAATTCTGACATCAAGAGAATAGAAGAAAGATTGAGGAAAAGCTCAGTGTCAGGGGTTAATTTATAATAACTATGCTATTTCAAGGACTTAATAGATGACTGTGTTTACTAATGACCCGGGCTGCCATGTGCACACGCACTGTCCCTCCCTCGTTATCTCACAAAACGCTGGACCAGATCTCCATCTGTACAGCTTCCCTGAGATGAGGATGCTATTCTGAGTCACGCAAGCTGAGATCACATTTGGGGGTATTTTTTGAATGGTTAAACACTTGTGACCCTATCCATAAAATTACACTTTGCCACAGAGCATGGCACCGAACAAAATCATATCATTATGCTCTTGCTGCTTGGGGACACACTAATCTGTTGCAGTTACGGTATGTGGAAAGCTCCCCCCCCGGCATATTTTCTGTACGAAAATAGAAATATAAAACCCATTCTCCCCTTTAACTTGCTTTCATTTGAATCCATACTGCAAAGAAAAAAAACAGGGATCCGCTCAGAGGGATCAGCAGGAGGAAATGATGAATCATAGAATGGTTTAGGTTGGAAAGGACCTTGAAGATTATCGAGTTCCAACCCCCCTGCCACAGACAGGGACACCTCCCACCAGCCCAGGTTGCCCAAGGCCCCCTCCAGCCTGGCCTTGAACACCTCCAGGGATGGGGCCTCAACAACCTCTCTGGGTAACCTGTGCCAGTGCCTCACCACCCTTAAAGTGAAAAACTTCTTCCTAATGTTTAATCTAAACCTGCCCTCTTCCAGTTTGAAGCCATTCCCCCTCGTCCTGTCACTCCATGCCCCAGTAAAAAGTCCCTCCCCAGCTCTCCTGGAGCCCCTTTAGGCACTGGAAGGCCACAATAAGGTTTCCCCGGAGCCTTCTCTTCTCCAGGCTGAACAGCCCCAACTCTCTCAGTCTCTCCTCATAGGAGAGGTGCTCCAGCCCTCGGATCATCCTCGTGGCTCTCCTCTGGACACGCTCCAGCAGGTCCATGTCTTTCCTGTGTTGGGGACTCCAGAGCTGGATGCGGTACTCCAGGTGGGATCTCACGAGAGTGGAGTAGAGGGGCAGAATCGCCTCCCTCGCCCTGCTGGCCACACTTCTTCTGATGCAGCCCAGGATACAGGTGGCCTTCTGGCCTTCACAGCTAAGCCATGCCAAGGTACTGCCAGACTCTGGTTGCATGGGGAGCTGTGGGACCCCTCTGCCCACCCTGAGCCGGGGCACACTCCACCATGTAGGACAGGACGGCCATCCCCTCTGCAGCTCCTGGCTTGGGCCCAGGGGACACTTGCCTTCTGCTGCTGGGAAGAGACTTGCAGGGTGTAACACCAGCGGTAGCCTGTGGACCTGGAAACCTCACACCACTTAGCAATGCCCGTTCTTCCAAAGGGAACCTGAAGGTGAGGTAGAAATGGGCAACGGGATCGTGTGTTTTACCAAGAGGCCCAGATTCCTGCCTCAAAGCACATTTCACGGCTTGTCCATACTGCGGAGCACCTTCAAGGTTGAACTAAGCAGTTATGGCTGGCAGAGGAGGAAAGCACCCTCGAATATATAGAGACACCTTACAGACGGCGAGGATCAGGTCCATGCTCAGCTGCTCCATCCCCACCACACGAACCTGTACCTGCCGGAGGAGCACCCGGTGTCCCTCGCGTCCCCAGCGCAGCCCGGGCAGCCGCAGGGCTCAAGGACCCCCAAGGAACCTCCCGGCTCAGCTCTGCCGACAGCCGCCCAAATCAATCTTTGTGAAACCCTTGAGCTCCTTGGATGAGGAGTTCCAGCCACTTAAGTATTCTTATTTATAGACATTTTAATACTTTTAATAGACTGGTAGAACAGCTGAATGCTGCTGCCATATTAAATTAGTTAGAATTGGAATCCATCAGAGGATTTTTTCAATAGATTTCTTCCCTGACAGCCAGCTCGGCCTTCCTTCCAATAAGCGGTATAATGTTTCATGGTTTGCTGCCACTCTAGTACTTAAGATTTCAATTCTACTGCTTTATTTGTAGCAAGTTAACTGCCATTAGCAGAAACAATTCTTTCTGAAATGATAAGCACCTTAGAGATGCCAAATCTAATAGCTCCATTATCCCAGATTACCTCCTGGAATTAAATAGAAGGGTAAGTTGCTCTGGTTTTACATGGAATGTGAACAACCCAGTTCACCTCCTCAACTGGGAATAGGTGTGGGGGAGCACAGGAACCTTTGACTTTCCCAGCCACAACCCATTAGGTCTGTTAAAGCCACCCAGAGAACAGCTAAAGCCAGAAAAAAAGTCCAGGTGAAAGTTTCAGACACATGAAACTGCATTTCTGATCCAATGATGTGGCTCACTGGGAACTCACCACCAGATAAACGAGGTTTTCTGAACTGGAAGCCGCTCAATAGCCATGCATGGGAGCTGTAGCCTAAGAAAGCTTTTTTCATCGTTATTTTGCAACATGACTTCACTTTATAGACCACAGAGTCACTGATCCTTTCCAAAACGATCTCAGAAACAGCCTGATTGGGACTTTGTAACTTCACCTTCAAATTTTCCTCTTCTTCGTTTTGCGGCACATTCTGTTTTCAACACGCGCTACCGTGAAGCATGCAAAGCAGCGCTCCCGAGCGCATCTGAGGTCCCTCAAGCAATACAAATTAAGTGCTACATTCTTCTTTGTAACAATGCTTCCATATTAAATAAATGAGGAATCAAGCGGCGCTCAACAATTTAAATAAAAACACCATTTGATTTTGTAGTAAATCCTTCAAAAAGGTGGACGTTTACAATAATAGATAGCCCATCCACAATGAAATAATGGCCTGCAGACAAAGAGCTGATAAAGCCTCTTGTTCCTCTGCCCCTTAATTAAAAGCATTAACACAGTTTGTTTTTAAAAATCACACACAGCTCAGCTCAGCTAAATGCATTTTTATTTGTCCCGATAGCTATTCTTTCTTTAATGAGAACGGAAAAGCAGAATTTGGCAGGAAAGGATGAACAGAGATGTTTAGCAGAATTACTGGGTTTGTATCCAGAAATCCACAGCGTTAGTTCCTCGCCATTATTTTGGTTGGATCCTCCATACAATAAGTGACGAAAGGTCAAAAAGAGCAGCTTTTATGAAATATCCTCAGCGTGAATCTCTAAATAAAGATGAAGAAGATACAGGGAAAAACGTTTATCCTAGTCTATTAAGTTACTTTAATGGTCTTCCTTCCTTTAGTGCGCAGTTATCATCTAATGATTAAAAAGTCTCAAGTAGATTGCTTCTTCAATTCAAGGAAATTAATTTTCCTACACAATTGGATTTTGCTTCCAATTTTATACTAAAGTGCAAGTTATAAAATATGTAGAAAAAAAGATATTAAAAAAATAATTAGCGGTCATACCACTGAGCGCAAGAAGGCTGAGAACATACTTCAGGAACTGCTGGGGTGTCCAGTTTCCATTAAACTGCTGTTGTTTTTAATAAACGTCAATCATGGAGTTGCTCACCTTCGACAACACAATCCCAATGCTTTGGGAGACACAGCACCGCATTTAGCACGTTTGGGATGGTCCTCTACCCGCCAAGAAAGGCGTTAGTTGTCCCTCTCCCAAACTTGCCATTCCTAATTAAACATTCCAAATTCCAACACCTTATTTTCAATTTGGAGATTTCAGACTTGTCCAAAACACACACAATTTCCCATTTCTGCTGCCCGTCTGTATCTCCATGATTCAGCTGGGGCTCACGGGCGGAAGCCAGCTGCACAAGACAGCGGGACCTGACGAGATACATCCGCGGGTCCCGAGGGAACTCGCAGATGAAGTTGCTACACCACTATCCATGGTATTTGAGACGTTCTGGCCATCTGGTGAGGTTCCTGCCGACTGGAAAAGGGGAAACAAAACCCATATTTATCGAGTGCACCCTCAGCAAGTTTGCTGATGACCCAAGCTGTGTGGCGAGGTAGACACGCTGGAGGGGAGGGATGCCATCCAGAGGGACCTGGACAGGCTGCAGAGCTGGGCCCATGCCAACCTCATGAAGTTCAACAAGGCCAAGTGCAAGGTCCTATATCTGGGTCGGGGCAATCCCAAGCACAAATCCAGGCTGGGCAGAGAATGGCTGGAGAGCA